CCATAGCACTCATGAGGGTTCATAATCTGACTAAAACTAAGTTTGAGCTCATTTGGGATGTTATGCAGGTCATTTCTGTCCTCCAATATGATAGTAGATCCAGACACTATGACATTCTTACCATATTTTATCAATCTGGGCCAAGTACAACAGATATTCATATGTACAGGCACAGATTCCTGCTAGCTCCTGGCCCAGACCAAGTGCTTGTGAAAGCTTGGAGAAAGGGAACACCAGCAAACCACTAAAGGCCAAAATGGAAAGGCCCTTTTTTTTTCAGTGATCCTTGTAGCACTCACTGTAGTAAAGAGGCCAGAGACAGATAATTGGGTTCATCTTTCTATATTAAAGCTAGCCCCACTGAACTGCCTAAAGAACATGATCACCCAAAAGAAAAACAAAAACACGACTCCTATCAACCTCTGGAAGACTTAAGATTTCTCTTTTGAAAGCAAAGCTGTTACAGATAAGTAAACAACACCTTGCTAAGGCCATGGCTCTCATGGCTCTCAGACTCTTGATGATTTAGCTGAAATACCTCTCAACGTACGTTCTTCTGAATAGAAAGCATGGAAGTCTGACCTGCTCCTCACATCTGGGCTAGTTGTAAGGTTTGTTTTCTTCATAAAACAGGGAGCCTGGAGATCATGAACCCTTTTCTCATTATTTCAGACAGATTTTTCTTCCCTCAACCTACCTACAAGCCTTAACATCCCGAGCTGGTTGGAGAATACATAATCCCTGATAGGTAGGGTCTATATCCTCTTCCAGCTTTTAAAGAAGATATAGAAGACAGAGGCCTCTACTCCTTCAGCACCCCCATAAAGATTTTTGGGGATTTGTGTTTCTCAGGGGAAACGAGATAGGAGATTAGGACATGGCAAAGCTGGCGGGGAAAAATGAGCAAGACTTGTCAATTATAAGATCCCAGGACAGTGCCAAATAATTCTCAGGGCCCTGTATGTGGAACTTCTCAAGAGCTCCTATGAGATACAGATGGCATAAAAGAAGACCAGCTATTATAGAAAGCTGCTGTCTTGCATGAGTCTCCATGATAGTCCGTACGATGTTTCTTAGATGTAGCATGAACTTTGGTTGTTACCCTGTTTTGCTCTTTGTTTGACCTAAGTCCACTCTGTAGAGCTGGTTTCATCCATACTCATCAAATAAACTTTTGGCACCATTTTTGGTTTGTCTCATCCAATTCTTTGTTCAAGGCAAGAATGACCTGGAATACTTTCTGAAAGAACTACCTGATAACACACAGGCTAGCTTAGAACTCTCAGTGATCCTACTGCCTCAGCCTCTTCAGTGTCAGGATTACAGGCATACACCTCTATACCCAACAGGTGTTAAAATATTTTCAGTTCTTTTTTTTTTTTTTAGACAGTGTCTTGCTGTGTAGGCTGGCCTCAAACTTGCAATCCTCCTGCCTTAGCCTTCTGAGTGCTGGAATTATAGGCAAATGCCACCATGCCCAGCTCAGTTGTCATTTTAAAAATAGAATTTTTAAAGGAACATTTTTAGGCTTACAAAAGAATTGTACAGAGTTCTCATATACCTGACCTTCCCACCTCAGCTTCCTCATGGTAAACATCTCGCCTCTCTGTGGTCCATTTGCTGTGATTAAGGAAACAGCATCAATATATTGTTAAACTGTCTGGATTTGGATTTATTCTTCGTGTGCTAAGGGTTCTTATGGGTATACAATGTCATGGATTCACCACTAGCTTTTCAAACAGAATACTTCTGCTGTCTTAAAAATGTTCTGCTTATCACCTTTCATTTCACCCGTCCTACTTTATTCCCACTTTTCCCCCTATCTCCATAGTTTTACTGTCCTAGAATGTCACATAGTTGTTATCCATTTACAAACAGCTGTGTTATCCAGTTTGCTTATCCATTTATCTTGGTTCCCATCAATTTTAGGCAATTTTTGAAAGAAACTTCCTACATTCGTGTGCAGGTTTGTGTGGACCTGAAATTTCAACTCATTTCTTAAATTGCCAAGGAGCAGAATTCCTAGAATGATACATTTTACAGCCTTTTCACATTGGCATCTCAGAAATGTACATCTAAGTTTCCTCCATGTTTATCTTATGGTGTAATTGTTCATTCTTTAAACCACTATCCCTCTGTATAATGCAGTAGTTTGCTTATCTGTTTATCTTGGTTACCGCCAATTCTGGGCAATTATGAAAGAAATTTCTAACATCCATGTACAGGTTTGTGTGAACATAAAATTTTAGCACATTTGTTCAATGACCAAGGAGCAGTAAACGTATGTTCACTGTTGTAAAAAGCCACCAAACTGTGTTCTAGAGTCATCATCAGTGTTGTCAGCGCCTTGGATTCTATCACCAGACAGGTGCATTTGTAATTTCCTTAGTGAGGCAGAGCTCAAGCACCATTTCATAAGCTTAGCATTTGCACATCTTCTCTGGTGAACTGTCTGTTTAAATGTTTTGCCCATTTAAAAACTAAATTACATTCTTATTGTTAAGTATTAAGAGGATACATTTTGATACAGGTCCTTTCTCTAATATGTGCTTTGCAAATATTTTTATTCTGTGGCTTGTCTTCTTTTTCCTTTAAGAGTGTTCCTCTCAAAGCAACATTTTAAATTTCAATAAAGTCGAAATTATCATGCTTTAAAATTTAATTTTTTTATTAGTACATGTTTGCAGCACCTAATGATTATGGGGAATTGGTAAATACATAACACATGCCGATTCTTTCCCTACCTCCTCACCTATCTTTTTTTTTTTTGGCCAGGATCAGATTAATTTATTTACAAGTCCTTATAGAGTTAATTATCACACATGCAGATTAACATCCGGACTAATAGGCCAAACCCTGTAAAACACATGAAACAATTTTAGATAGATTGTCCATGTTGCATGACAAAAAGTTTTTTCTTTTTTCCTATTGTTTTTTATTTGGCACTTTATTTATATATTGAATTTCACATATAAGAGAAACTATGCGATATTTATGTGCCTAACAGTATGGTCTCAAAGTGCATCCATTTTCTTACAAATGACTTGAGTTTGCGCTTTATGGCAGAGTAAGACTTCTTTGTGTATAAATACCATGTTTTCTTTATCCATTCATCTGCTGTCGGATATATAGGTTGCTTCCAAGATTTAGTTGTTATGAATTGTGCTGCTACAAACATAGAAATGCATACATTACTGTGAAATCTAATTTATCATGCTTTTTGATGTTTAAATAAAAATTTATTACCAAACTCAAGGTTACCTAGATTTTTTCATATGTTATTTTCTAGACATTTTATATTTTACATGTAGGTATATAATCCATTTCGGGTTAATTTTTGTGAACAATGTAAGATCCACATGAGGATTTTTTTTTCCAGGTGGATCTTGGTTTTTCAGCACCATTGTTTAAGACTGTCCTTTCTTCATTGGGTTGACTTTCTCTGTCACATATCAGACGATTAGATTCATGTGGGCTTGTTTCTGGGATATCTATTCTGTTCTATCACAAGATGGATGAGAGTGTGGCCTTGCAAGGAGAGCATGCCTGGGTTAGATGGTGACTCTTCTTTGCTCTCTTGACTGCTGGCTCTTTGGGTCAGGAGAGACGATTCATTCAGTTACTGCAGTTTTCAGACCAAAGCAGACCCAATAGTTTCTTCTCCACAAGAGCATACAGTGCTTTACAACGTGTGAATATAAGCTTTCCTCCACTGGCCTTTCCACACCGCAGCTTCTCAGCCCCTGTGTCCTAAGTAAAAGCAACCACAGCTGCGCTCCACTTTGAAACTGAGAAATGATGAGATTCTCCCAAGTTCTCCAAAGTCGGCCAGTCACGGGATAGAGATTAACCCCACATCCTTCCAGACCCTCCATTCTGATTGCTCACTTGAAGGCCAGGACACACACACACATATACCCGCACAGACGTACGCCCATTCACACCCGCTGTTGTCTCCGTGTTTAAAAACCATAATCACCTATGATGATGTGAGGTAAAATACACTCCGCCCTGCTGTCTAGATGAAGTGCTGTGGTTTGGGGGCCCCTGGCTAGCCAGGTAATTCAGCGTGTTCAGCAGACATGGGGAGGCAGCAGCACAAGCAGAAGCGGAAGTCTAGGGGTGATGCAGGTCCCACCATCGATGCCAACCCCATCAACCTCCTGGAGTACCCGGGGCCCGCCAGACCTTGTCAAGAGGTCAAATTTCTGGCGTTTCTTCCTCACAGGACAGGCTGTGCCTCTGGCTAAGTGGCTCTGTGCATGTGTGGCCACCGTGAAGGCGCTGACATAGGGTAGCAAGCTCTCTGTGTAGCACACATTCCTTCCTAATGATCTGTTCTGCTCAAAGAGCAGCAGGGCCAGATACTTCAATACTCTCTAGAATACCTGGCAGAAGCAGGAAGTTAGTAGGTTTGAGGCCAGCCCGGAAAGATTGGTGAGGTCTTGTCGTCCCCCCTGAAGTGGCCAAGGTTGAAGCTGATTGATAAAGCACCCCTGTGTTCCAGCCACAGTACTGGGGGATAAGGAGGCAGGGTGGGAACAACAGGGCAAGAGGGCTTCCATTAGTTCCCCAACCCAAACATTCCAGCCTGCACCTTCAGGCTCCATCTACTTTGCCTCAACAACCACGCCATGGCCAGGTATTAGGCACATCACACAGGGACCTGAGTAGCCCCGGTGGGCGAGGACAATTCCTGGAGACAGGCAGGGAATTCCGGATCTCTGGTCCCTAGGGACTACACTAAAGCGAGGTGAGCCACATTTTCTTTGGTGAACTCCTGGTGCCCGGACAGGTAGGGTGTAGAGATCATCCTGAGTGGGGAGGGCAGGTAGGGACCCTGCCTACACTGCAGTCAAGAGTCATACAAGTACTGGGAGACATAAAGGAAAAATGCTTAAGCAGGGTTCTCGATTTCTTACAGAAGGGCACAGGCTTACAATTAACACAGAATAAAGCAGCACGACTTAACAGTCCCAGCATTGCAAGGCATGGTTACACTGGTGGTGTTCCTGGAGTGACTACGCACGGGCCTCCAGTCGTTGTGGGGCTCGCGCAGCTCCCGGTCTTCGCCCGGGCCGCATTCCCGTGCGTGGATCCGTGTCACTCAGGCGCCGGGCAGGGACAGGCACGACCCGGGCCGGGGCAACAGCGGCTGGCGTGGGGAGGAGGCGGCGAGGCGGGGATGCGGCCGGGGCGGGCCTGACGCAACCGCGGCGCCGAGCAGCACCGCAGGGCCCGGGCCGCGTCCCGCCCTCCCCCACCGCGCAGGGGTGCGTGGCGCCGCGGGGTCGCGGCTCGGTCTTCGGCTGGAGCCGGCGCAGGGGGCGCACGAGCGCCGCGGGGAGGCAGAGGGCGCGGCGCAGCGCGGGAGGCCGGGACCCGCCCCAGGCGCACGTGTGGCCGCGGGCGCCGCCGCCGAGCTCTCCCGGGGGCCGCGCCCCGGTCGGGCGGTGCGTGGCGAGGGTGCCCGCCCAGCCTGCGCCCACCCCCCGCGCCGCGGTGCATGTTAGCCTCTTGCCGCTGTGTGCCGAGAGGCGGCGGGACCATGAAGATGATCCACTTTCGGAGCTCCAGCGTCAAATCGCTCAACCAGGAGATGAAATGCACCATCCGGCTGCTGGACGACTCGGAGATCTCCTGCCACATCCAGGTGGGGAGGCGCAGCCGGGTCGGGGCGCGCGGAGCCCGGCAGGGGGCCTCCGCGGTGGGCGTGCGCGGGCGGGGAACCCAAGAGCAGAGGAGCCGGCCAGAAAGCCCGGCTCTGCCCGGAGAGGCAAGGGCCCGGCCGGCGGGGCTCGGTCCCGGCAAGCCCCGCACGCGTGTCCGCCGGCCCTTCCAGTGTTGGGATCCGCGCGCGCGCCTCGCTGCGCCCAGAGCAGGACGGCGGGGCGGCTACCTGGGGACGCCAGGAGCGGGGAGACCCGCGGACCGAGAGGGATCTTGGCCTGTCGCTCGCTCATCCTCCTGCTTTCCTCCACGTGGAGAGGCAGGACCAGCTCGGGCTCACGCATTTCTGCCTCCCAAGCTCCAGAGACGCCCTCAGTTCGGGCACCAGCTAATTCACGCCTGCCACCCGTCTGTTGTTGCCCCTGCTGTCCGGAGGAGGCCAGTGGCTAAGTTTGCCCAGCGTGAGAGAAACTGGTAGCCCTGGACTCCAGCCATCAGTGGTGGGATGCGCGCCCTGCTCCACTGGAGCCACTGGGAAAGGAACCTGTGAAGTCTGAGCATTTCAGAGAAGGAAGACAATTTGTGGGGCCAACGGGTGGGGAATCCTGTGGGCATCTGGGTCCTGGAGAAAAGAGCCTGTGGGAGTCTCCGCTCCAGTTGGAGGAGGCCAGTTGTTTGAGTGAAGGCAGGAGTGCTGGCAGCCACCTTCTCTGGTAGTAAGTGCTTTGGGCTCCAGAGCTAGTGTGAGCTGCAAGGGTGTGTGTGAGCCCTTGTGCATGCATGTGTGTGCATTTGCAGTGTATGTACAGGCAGGCAGATGTGAGCCCATCTCCTGTGAACCCAACGATGCCTCACTCGGTGCGCACAGTTCTGAAAGGTCTTGTCAGAACTCTGCACGGTTAGCTTCTGACTTTAAAGTATGGGGTTTCCTCTCTTCAGTACCGGAGCTCCAGGTCTGTGCCTGGGGTAGGGTGAGGGGAGTCTCTCTGGGCAGCAAGAATTTGCCTCTAGGCTGTGTTAACCTTGTATTAATGAAAGGTATTTCCCTGTAGCTCCCCCTTTTTTTCCTCTCCCTCTTTTAGAATTTTTGCTAGTGGGAGCTCGTGAAACAGAGACTGTGCAATTCGTTTGTAAACTGATAGCTGGATAAGTTTTGAGTCAGGAAGGTGGTGCCCCATGATTTCCTTGGAAGGTAGGCTTCTGCTGAATTTTCTAGAGGAGCTTGAATTTCATTCTGAACGAAGAACTGCTGGTAAACTTAATAATAAAGGGATTAGCAGGATAGACAGTTTTTCTGCTGCCACCCTGGCCGCCCAAAAGTGCTTGGCTTGTACCGTTCTTTGATGCAGAGAGAGTGGTTTGTGCACTCAGCTTTAGGTCCTCCAGAGGCTAGAAGGATGATTTAAGTCCTGAAGAGCAAGGTAACCCTGCTGGGGCTCCTTTCTGCTCGGCCTCACCTGCCTGGGTCGCCAGTGGAGTTGACATTGTCCCTTGAGACTGAATCTGCTTTAGAGTAGATAAGATGTCCCCAGAGGACGTGTATTTGTCTGGTGTCCTGGGAGACAATACTTTCGTAGCCTAATAACAGTTTGGAAAGTTTGAGTTATGGTTTCACTGATGCCAAAGTGGTTAAAATGATGCATGCAAAAATGTTGATTTTAAGGGCCTGAGGATATAGCTGAGTGGCACAAGTGCCTGCCTGGCACACACACACACACAAAAGTTGACTTTGTCACTGATTAAAGAAATTTTTGATACATCTTTTTATGCTTTATCTGCCCCTCTCCCATGGTGATTATCACTTAGCCAATTAAAATGAACTGAAGTATACTGTTTTTAATAACTTTGAGCCAGGTATTTCCTAGGGTGTTCCAAGCAAGGAACTGAAATTTTACTTTCAGGTATCAGGTTACAAAGATTTCCCATTTGCTAAGAAGACCAAAAAATATAAAAAAGGAAACAAAAGCATCTGGGGTCACCAGCACTTGTTCTGGAAGAATCAATTTGTGTTTCCTGCTTCTTTTTTCCTCTTCCTCTTTACTTTCTGTTTTCCTCTTCTCTCTTCCGCTTTCTCCTCCTTTGTGTCTTTGACCTCCTCCCGCATTCTCTCCCGGAGAATCACTAGTGAAAGGATTGTATGGATGGCCTGGAGAGTTGCACACCTCCCTTGTGGCCCACACCTTCCTGCCTAAGTTAGGGGTGCACACTTACTCTGAGGCTCTGGACCTGTTAGTTGCCAACATTCCCTCCAGGTACAAGGAGTGAGTGGAGCCTGTGTATCCCAAAGGTGGGGAAACTCAGTCATGCATCCTTTGGGGCTCCTTTGTCTGCGTTCCCTAGTAAGTGAGTGTTCCAGATGGGAAGTGAGCTGTTCAGATGGATCTTGTTGGCAAAGTGCTGGAGGGTGGCGGATGCAGGGCCACTGAAAACCTTTAGGGTTGCTGTCTGAGACCATGTAAATAGCCTTGGCACCATTTTTGAATATCTGTGCTCTGGCTCTTTATACCCATTACAAGTAGCCCTGCCACAGATCTCTGAGGTAGGCATGGTTCCCAGCTTATGAATAATGAAGTGGAGAAGCTGAGTGTTTGTGGCTTGTCCAAGGCTGCATCCCTAAAAAGAGATGAGCTGCTGACATTCAAATCTAGAGTCGTCTTGTGCAGAACTTGTATATGTCTTTGACATATTAACCCATTGTTAAAATAGCAGAACTTGCAGTGAAATTTCTAGATAGACATAGATAAATATAATGTGAAGGGTTTGAACTGAGGAATAAAAGCCAGTTGGGATTCATGATCTCAGTGGCAAAGTGGCCCTCCCTGCCAGTGTGTACAAGTAGTGTCTATAGTCGAGCAAGAGAGGTGGGCATCCCGGGACTGATTGGAATACCCCATCCAGAGGCTGCTGGAGCCACTGCCACATTTGGGGAACATGGGGTTTGCCCTCAGGAGAACCATACTTATCCATGCCTTCTTAGATTTTACAAATGTATTTGTGTATTTCAAGGGTAGAGCATAGTACCCTCAGATTCTTGCTGTGCATCAGAAGATGAAGTCTGAGCAAGCCAGAAGCTAAGAATTGTGGTCCTACTTAGTGGTGAAGGGGTGGGCAGGACAGGTTCTGTCCCTCTAGGTGTGCATTCTGCCAGACCAGGAGGCAGAGTAGTATTCATGCTGCTTGTCTTGGTTATTTTCCTCTGTTTGCTGAGACAAAATATCTGACACCTCAAATTAGGGAAAGAAAGGTTTATTTAACTTACACGTTTTGGAGGTTTCAGTCCATACTCAGCTGGCTCCAAGACAGGGTGGTGTGGCTGAGGGACAGCCATTCATGATGTCTACAAGTGACAAGAGCAAAAGGGCAAAAGGGAAAAGCACTCCTCCTTCCTTCCCTTATATTGTATGCTGGATCTCTGCCCTTGGGCAGAAATAGCACTCACATCACCAATCCCAGCACTAGACAATGCATCAATCACAAACACTAGACTCAGCCTCCTCTATGACTACATGAGGCTTTGCGGGGATGTCCAAACACAAACCGTAACACTGGTCCACCCCACATCCCCAAGAAGCTTTGCATTTACAACTCTTTGGATTATAGAAAACAGATTTTAGAAAGCAACAGGTTTTAATTATTTCTTTTCCAAATGATATTTTGGTGGTATTTTAGCAAAGAAAAGTTTCAAATGCAACTTAACAGCACAGCCTCCACAACCTATGGCTGGTTCCAGTAGGAATCATGGACAACCCTGCCCTTATCTCTTCACAAGGGCTAGGGTGCTGCCTCATTTTAGCACTGGTGTACGAAGAGTTCTGTGGGCTGAAAGAGGAATTCTAGATGAACAGGGAGAAAAAGAGGAGACTAGGGCATCAGAAGAGGCCTGTGAAAGACAAGGGGTTGCTTAGTGCTTCCCCTGGCTTTGCCAATAGAGCCCACTCTTCAAGTCTGGGTCTTAGAGAAGGATGTGATTTAGCACTAAGTGCTTCTGTCAGCCTCACCGCTTTCATTAGCATGGAGTCTTGGCCACCTCTTATCAGGTTTGTGGATGCTGGCATGATTATTCACAACTCCTCCTAATGAGTTTGCCATTTTTAATACTGCCTTTTGAGACCAAAGTAGACTTTCCATATTATTCATTCTTTAGCAAGGCCTGGTAAATATAACCAATGTCTTTGAAACTATTTGGAAATTTGTATTTATATTTAAACACCAGTTGTGCATAGTGCTTAGAACATAGTAGACAATCTTAGCATAGCACTTGGCATATGGTAGGTGCAAAATAAATATAGATGTAGATTAGATAATTTCCTTTCTAGATTGTTAAGTTCATGAGAGCAGGAACATTTCTTTGTTTTCTTTTTTTCTTTGTCTTTTTTGAGACGGAGTCTCGCTATGCAATCCAGGCTGGCCTTGAGCTCACTTTGTAGCCCAGGCTGGTCTCGAAATTGCAAGGATCCTCCCACCTCAGTCTCCCTAGTGCTGGGATTATAGGCGTGAGCCATTACACCCGGCTGAGAGCAGGAACATTTCATTGTTGATGTTATTCATCATGGAGTCCCTAATACCTGGAATATACCTGGCAAATAGTATGTGTTCCTTAAACTCTAGTAGAATGAGTGCTAACTCACACAGTATGTCATTTAGATCGTTACTTATTAACACAAAGCTAGCATGACAGCAGTGGATTTGGAAGCAGATGTGTAGTTCTGTTATATTACCAGCCAATTATGTGATGAGTGAATCACTTGATATTTGTAAAATAAAGGATTTGGATTAGCTACAGTTTAGAGAAACTCTTCGGCCTAAGTATTCCTCAGAAAAATTTATTTGAGCAAAACATTAGTGTTTACCAAGTGGCTATAGCTACATTATCTCATGTGATTTTTGTAACTGCCATTTGTTATTTTCATTTTATTGATATTATTCACTGGATTGTGCAACTATCTAGTCATTTTAGAGCATTGTTGTCATCTAAAAGGAACT